AAGACATATTGTAGGCTGAATTTTGAAGGATGAATCCTTCAAATTTAATTCCAAGTGAGCAGCAGGGTGGTAAGTGTCTCTGAGAGTGACTTTATTTTTTTTCAAGTAATTCAGATTCCACTGGTTGGGAAAGCCCTGAATTTCCTATCCCAATTAGAGCACTATGGGACTCTACAGAAAAATAATCTGCAAAATTACACACTAAGAAGACACTCAAAAAAGCAAATTTAACAATTGTTACAAAAATTCCCAACTGTGCTAAACCCCTTTAACTCCACATCCCGATCTCTGCACTGAAAACTGAATTTTGTTGCTTAACAACAAACACAGCCAAGTGTTTTATGAGCAAAGGGCAAGTATTGGGCAAATATATTAAATTATATTAAAATTTTTGTCTCTCTATAAAGCCCAGAGGTAAAAATTATTTTTGCAGAAATGTCTGGAAGCAAAAGGCTGAAAAGCAGTGAGGAATGTCAAGGGTTTCATGCAAAAAATTCATTCCAAGGAAAAGTAAATAGAGGAAGGAGGATTCTATGGCTAAGATATGTGGGAAATGGAAAAACTCACTGCAGTGGGGTCTTGGAAATATCAAATGGAGCTAAACTCCAGCAATCCCATACATGATCCTGCTCTGCTTCCCAGTTTGGATTTGTCTGAAATAAAACCCCTACTTTTATGTTTAATTCCTGCCTCCAGCCGGAGCTGAGATCTCTGGCTCAGCTCACATCCTGATCCATCCTCTGCCCAGATTTGATGGGCTCCCAACACATCCCATCTTCCCAAACGTTGCCAAGACCCTTTCCATGAGCAGACAAGCCCAAGGATGTGTTTCCATCTACAAAGGATGCCTTTAGTTTCAACAGGAATTCAAAATCCAGGGAAAATTAAAACATGGCCCTGCAGTGGTGGGATAAAAGTAAATATCCTGCACATGCTGGAGAAAGGAATATGCTGCAAACGTTGGGAAAAGATGGAAAAGAAAGGGTTAGATCATCCCCAAGATTTTGCTGAGCTCAGAAAGTGTGATGTCATGTTGCAGACATCTTTTCATGAAAAATCTTTTACTTAGGATTTTTCTTCCTGAGAAGCTGAGAGGCCTCAGGAACAAAATGTAAACATTGATTATCTGCTGCTGTGGAATGCAACAGGTGCATCTGTGATTGGTCTCATGTGGTTGTTTCTAATTAATGGCCAATCACAGTCAGCTGGCTCAGACTCTCTGTCCCAGACATAAGCCTTTGTTATCATTCTTTTCTTTGCTATTCTTAGCTTGCCTTCTGGTGAAACCTTTTCTTCTATTCTTTTAGTATCGTTTTAATGTAATATATATCATAAAATAATAAATCAAGCCTCCTGAATCATGGAGTCAGATCCTCATCTCTTCCCCAACTGAAGAACCCCTGTGAACACCGTCACACATTGTCAGATGTGTTTGGGATTTCCTTGGGTATTTGGTCTCAAACTCCTCACTGAAATCCCCGAATCTGCTCCCCTTCATAGCAACCAAAAGATCCATTCTTTCAAAAGCCAAAAAATTCACAGAATCCTGGGATAACTAAGGCTGGAAAATCCCTCTCAGCCAAGCTGTGCCCAGTGCCCACCTTGTGCCCAGCCCAGAGCACTGAGTGCCACCTCCAGCCCTTCCTGGGACACCTGCAGGGCTGGGCACTGCAAAGCTCCCTGGGCAGCCCCTGCCAAGGCCTGAGCACCCTTTGCATGCAGAAATTGCTGCTGCTGTCCCAGCTGAGCCTCCCCTGGCCCAGCCTGAGGCAATTCCTGACAATAAAACCCAAAAATTAGGAGATTTCCAAGAGAAAAATTACCTTTCCAATAAAAAACTTTGCGTTACCTAGGAAAAGCAGCTGCTTTGGGAATTGGAAATTGGGCACAATTGGAAATTTCCACCAATAAATATCTGGGTTCTGCATCTGTCAGCCTATCAGAAGACAATTGCAGTTGGTTTTTCCTCATTATCTAATGAATTCACTAATGGCTTTGTTTACAACACGGGCTGGAGGCTGGAGGAGTTTTAATTGCACTTCAGAAGCTGGGGCCAGATTTCTCTTAAAAAACAAAGCTGAAAAATTCCATTGTGTCCACTTTGTACAAAGCCCATAAAACATGTCTGTGATGTTTTATGCGCATGTTTTTATTTGTGCCTTTAGAAATCCCCATATTGCAAAGGAATTTTGCTTTTTGGGGCCACCATGAGGCCAGAAGGAGTGCAGAAGGCAAGGATGTGATTTTTAGTCTCCCTGTGCTCAGCCATCACCTACAGGCACCAATTCCATGGAAAAATTACTCAAATTCTGGATATTCAGCTACTCCAATGTATTTATTTCAGAGCTGTCAAAAAAAATCTTGATTTAAACCCAGAAGAACTGACCTGGAGCAGATGCTCAGGAGCACAGGACTTGAGGGAAAAGGAAATTAAAGAACAAATCCAATAGCAATAAAGGTGAGCAGAGATGATTTCTGAGGGCTGGGGACACCTGCCCTCCATCCCTGTCACATAAGGTGACATTCCCTATGCCAGTGGCACTTGGAATTCCTGTTTTCCTGATGTTAATCCTGGATCCCACCTCAGAAGATGCTCAGCTGACATAAAGCAGGGAGGCTGAGCTGTAAAAAGGAGTGGATGCATCCCAAAAATTCCTCCCCTGCCTTTTACTGTGGTTCCTCCAACCCTGGATGATTTATCCCTCAAGAAAAACCTAGATAAAAGCCAATTGCATAGCCCAGTTTGGGATGAACAGGAGCATCCAGAAGGATGTTGGAAGAGCCACCAAAAAACCGAGCAAAAACTACTCATTCCAAAGCTTTGGAATTTTTTTCCCTGAGATACAGGAAACAAATCAGCCTGGAAAATCAAGACAAAAGGAGATTTCCATATGTAATACCCATGGAATTGAAAATAATTTCTATTTTGAAAATAATTTCTATTTTAGGCCGTCTGACCTAAAAGCCATATCCTTGTGCATGGAGACATGGAAAGGGCGACCTCTCCAAGGCACCAGCATTCCCAGAGGAGTCTGGAAAACCACATCCATGGAATGTTATTCCTTCTTGGACAATCCCAGTCCCAGATATTCCAGTTTCCCCCAGTTGCCTTCTCCAGTGGTGACATTCTGAGACTTTGTGCCCAAAGCTATAAAATCCCTTTTCCTTGCCACATCCTTCACTTTTTTTGATCCATTTTACTCCTGGAAAGCACAAAAACTGGGAATGTTTTCCAGGAACATTCCTGCACTTCCATTTTCAGGCAATAAAAGAGCTGAGTCCTCCGATATATTTCACATTTTTAGCCTGAAGCCATAAACCATATTTTTAATGGAGGAAGTGCAAGCATGAGGCAGCACTTCCTCCATTCCAGGCTCAGTTTTGACAAAAGGAATATTTCCTTGGCTTTCTAACAAAATTTCCTTCTGAGGTCTAGAAAAACCAACAAAATCTGGTGTGCTGAGCTACACTTTTAAATATGTTTTATCTGTGTGCAGTTCAGAGCTACAAAAAATGAGTTTATCCAGCATTTTCCTGCTCAGGACGAAAACCTCTGGGAATGTTTTTCCCACCTCAGGTGTCTCCAGGGTTTCTTAGAGGCTTTTGAGGGGTGAATATCTGCTCAGAAGGGAATATTTCTGCTCGAGCTGACACCTTGAAGGGACAGAGCACTTCCTGCTCTTGGTCTCACCTGGACCAGAGTCTCACATCACCAGGGTGGAGTTTTTGTCACTTTAAGGCTGTCCATGTCACCTGGCCATGGTCACTGGTGTGGGCCCCACCAGCAACCTCTCATGGACACAAACTTTGCACCTCCCAAGTTTTTGAGGTTGGCAAAACCCCTTAAAAATGAACCCAAAACCTTCCCAAGGCTCAAACCAAGCCCCAGACTGGTGGGTCCCTCACTACAGGGTGGAGAAGGCAGATGTTAATTTAGGGGGCAAATCCCTGGTGCCAGAAGAGGAGGAAGGGACTTCAAAAGAGAGCTTGAGCATGACCTCCTGCTCTAAAGCATCCTCAGCAGGTGATTCCTTCAAAGTACTCATAAATTAAATATTCATAAACAAAATAATCATAGATTAAACCCAAAACCCCAGGAAGGAACAAATGGTCCCACAGATGTTCTTTCCTCCACAGGATTTCATATCTAGTCAGAAAAAGTCAGGGAAGAGCAAGCTGAGCTTTGCGCACCAAATCTCCTCCTTACGTCACAAATAACCACCAAAACCACCTGGTTTTGCCCATTTTACTATGGTTCAGCTCCCACAGGGTTATGGAGTGGAGGCTTCCCTGAGGTTTTGTGGTGGCAACAGTGACTCTGTTCCCCCTGTGCCCGGGCTTGCAGGAGTTCCTGACATTCTGCACGAGTGTCCGGTGTCCGGAGCTCCTCCTGGTGTAACCCAACTCCCTCTTCCTACTCCAAGGTTTTGTGTTGCCTTGGTGCTGCAAACAGCTCCCCTCTGGCTCTGCTTTAAAGGAGACCACAGAGCTCCAAAGCTCCAAGCAGAGCAAAAAGCAGGCTTGGATTTTGTCTTTTTGGCACCCTGTTTGGGGTGTGTTGTCATGGCTCGGGTGCTGAGTGTTCAGCTTTGAGGATAACCAAGTGCAACCACTCTAGAACTGAATAAAAAATGTGAGGGAGAGGCTTTCTACTGTTACTCTGAATCTGGTTAAATAAGATTTTAAGTTGCTCTTCCAATCCCAGCACTCACCCAATCCTCCAGGTTGTTTTTAAAAGGCCATAAATCAATGCCATAAACCACTTAAGAGAGAGAGGAGATGTGTGCTCCTCTCTCAGCCTAGGACATAAATCCTCCTTGCCTACTGCAAAGCATTTATTGGTACATTTTTTATGTCTCAGGAAATGTAAGTCAGCTTTCTTCACTAGACAATCCCAGCAGATCATTTTTCTTGGGGTTATTGGGGCATGATAACAAAGAAAATTAAGCTTTTAACACAGCAGTTGCATGAGGATGCCACACAAAGAAGAGGTCACCTACCAGCTCCACTCTCCCGAAGCCTCCGACTCCCAGGGTGTCGATGATGTTGAAATCAGACAGTTTCAGGTTGGCAAAGAAGGCAGCTTCGGCTTCGTATCTGGAGGTTTTGAGGCGAAAAAATGGAAATTTCTTAGAGGTGCAAACCTGAGCGGCGCGCGCCGCCACCGTCCCCGAGCTGTGAGAGCCTGGGCCAGCCTTTACCTGCTGCACTTCCATCTCAGCTCTCAAAATTCACTTTTTTGCTGCTCCCAATCGCAGCATGGCTCCGGAGGGCACAGTTTTCCAAATTTTCCAATTTAATGGGGTTTTTTTTCCGTAGCAAACATCCCTACTGAGGGTGCAAAGCCAACGCCTGGCACCGCAATGCAGCTCCCAAGGCTGGGCATTTTCTAGCCATCTTCTCCTGGGTGAGATTTGCTTGTAAATATTTTGGTGTCTTTAAGGATTTTTTGGAAGATAGAAGTCTCTCCTAGGAGTTTCTCATATCCACAGGCTGGCAGCAGTTTCTATAAATGTTTATTGGAAGTGGCAGGATCACTAAAGGTCCCCGGAGAGAAATCCCAGCCAGGTTGTATGAAATCAGATCTGATAAAGCCGCAAATGCCTGAAATGAATGACTTCAGGCACAAATCAACATTCCTATAAGGATATCTTCACTTGTTCTCCTCCACTAAACCCACTCAGAGCAGCCATCCCAAGCCAGGAGGTCCCAAAATCCTGATGCTCTCTGTTTATTCCCACAGCACCACGCGCCTGAGTAAGGAACACGCAACTCCAACCCGAGCAAGCCTGCCAGAATCAGCTTCCCATGCCTGTCCATGACCATAATTCCCCCAAAATAGCTCCTTGTTAAGGTTTAGGGTATTTTTAGAAAGGCTTGGAGGGGAAATGGACGAGAAGGATCCGCCCCCTCCATAAAATGTGACATTTGTCTGCTGGAGAGTCCCTGGGTGTGTCCGACCTTTGGCTGTGGGTGACTTTATGGGATAAGAGTTGGCTGGATTATGGAGGGAAGCCTGGAAGGTTCAAGGCTTAATTTTAGCTGGAATAGTTTAGAATTAACAGTAGGGCATAATCACTGGAGGCTTTGCTCGTGCAGGGTGACAGCAGTGGGAAGATGAGCCACCATCCCACTCCCGTGGCCAGCTTTGGGACATTCCCACCCTGATTATTTCATTAACAGATGCCCTTCAAACCACCTCCTCTGCTCTGTTTAAAACCTCAATGCCAATGGGGGATTGAGATCAAAACTCCATCATTTTCCAAGTGAAAAGGGAAACCTGCAAATAGGAGTCCCAACAATGCGAAAGGTCACATCACAAAGCCCCAAATCTGAGGCAATAAAACACAATTTTCTCCCAGGGGCTGCTGTCAACAAATGACTTCAGCTCTGCTTTGTTTTTTTGTGCTGTCACCAGATCCTGTTGGTGACCTTGCTCCTGATGCATCTGACTTTGGAGGCCAATCAGCTCGGAGCCTGCTGTGAACTTGGGATAACCTTGTGTGCCACAGCTGCTCATTGATCCCTCCGTGCTCATCACGAGGCGAACGCTGAGCTGGCACTAAAAAAGGATTGAAATGTCCCCTCTCAAAGCACAGCACAGCCACCATTTCAGGGCTGACAGAGCAGCGAGGGCCTCTCCTTTCCATGATGAATGGACAGAGCAGTTGAACACCTTTAATGATTTCTAATTGCCAGGAAGATGAAATCCCAGCTTGGAAAATTTCCTGCCAATGCACAAATAGAGGTAAAATTTCAGGGTCACACCACGGTTTGGGTTGGAAGGGACCTTCAAGACCATCTGATTTCAACCTCCCTGTCATGACCAGGGACACCTTCCTGGGCAAGGAAGCTGAAATCTTCTGGATTTGCATTGGAACATGTTAAAAAAAACTGTATTATTTTGCTTAGAAAAATACTTGCTGCATTCTTGGCATTGCTTTGGGAAATCCTTTGGCTAATTCCCTCTGCCACACTCCTTGGATGTAGTGAGCACACACAAGTGAAGCAAAGCAGATGAGGCAAACTGGATTCCTTTTTTTTTTCTAAATACTGTGCAACAAACCTCCAAACCCCAAAAGAAATGCCAAAAATGTGCAGTGAAACCAAAGCACAGGTAAAATAAAGCAAACAAGCCCTTCCCATGCCCACAAACAACAGGCCCATTGGAATTCTGTTTTATTCCCAGCTACAAAAGTCCAAGTCCACTTAAACACCAAATTCCTATAAATTAAGTCATCGTGCATTCCAAACCTGCTAAGCTGGAGGATAAATATCTTTAAAAAAAAGAGATGAAAATACAAATATTCCCAAGCTAAATCAGAACCCAGGGGTATGATCCTCATCATGGAGTCTAGAATTCCTTCCAAATTTCTGAAGCTGAGCATGTTGCTCCCTGAACAGAAGCTCCCCAGGTTCTGCAGTGTGAGCTCCTTGCTCAACAGAACAATGGTAAAAACCATCTGTGGTGTTTGATTCTACCTCCCAAAGTAAAGAGGCACTGGGAGGGAAGTGCTAAGGAATACAGAAGGCAGCTTCTGTATATTAATTAATAATAACAATAACTATTATTTTTTAATATAATGATTTTTTCTGTAGGAAAATGCTCAGTTCTGGATCAGCATAAAGAATCTGCAAGTCAGGAATGTTTGGGATGTTCACAGGGTGGCTCAGGCTGGGAGGGACCACACCTGGTGTCCCCTCCCTTGCTCCAGCAGGGCCATCCCAGAGCCCAGGGCACAGCATTGTGTGCAGCCAGCTGTGCCCCAGCCCCAGAACAGAGGTGGGATGAGAGTAGGGACAGTTTGACCCCACTTGTGCAGGATGAGGTGGGAATAACTCACCCCTTTGTGGAACAAATCCACCTCTGCTTAGGCAAGGGGCTTTTCTCCACCTTGGAGATGCCAGAACCTCATGCAATTGCTCTTTAATCAAGCAGTTTTATTGTAAATCCCAGCCTTATGCCATGCTTGGAGACTTCCCAAATAATCAAATGCTTTTGTGACTCTGGAAGAGTTTAAATTCCTGAATGAATTGATGGGAGGAGTGCTGGGAAGACACCTTGGAGGCACAAGTGGCACCACAGGCACACACTGGAGCTGTGCACACACCAGGCCTGAGCTTCCTGCACTGGGATTTCTGGGCTTGTCTCCAGTGGAATTAGCTGTAATTAAAAAAGAGCCTTTCCCTGGATATTTTGGTAATTGTGCTGCTCATCCCAGGTCAAAATGCCAGGAAAATTCCAGCTGGAAGTGCACAAGAAGAAAAGATACAGGGAAGGTGTGATCCAAAAGCAACGAACAGTCTTTAATAAAGAGCTTTTAAAATGAAGGTTGAGCTTTTCACAGGAGCTGGTGGGACACCAGGAATCAACTTCCAGTGTGCTCCTCATGGAATTTTTTGCTTATTGAAGCAGGTTTTCGTCACCTACTGAGACTGGCCCACCCTTGGCAGGGCTCACAGCCCACCCCTGAAGGTGACAGCAGAGTGACACCTCAGAGAGCAGCACAGGAGATGTTGGAGCATCCTGCAGAGCCTCCAAGCTCTTCTCCCAGATTTCCTGTGAATCTGAATGGCAAAAACCTCCTCTGGAAGAGCTGGGGCTTGGGAACACCACTGCTTTCCCTGCCTCCACTATAAAATACCTGTTCCCGAGGAGCTGCCTGGCCTCAGCCTCCTCTTGGGCATGGACAGGCACCACATACAAGACATCAGAGCAATCAGGAGGAAATTCCACCTTCCAATATCCCAATCCTTTGAAATGGCAGTGCAGGAGCCACAGCCCAAATGTCTGGGCAATGCTGTGCCCAAGGGCAGAGGAAATCCTGTGGTTCCTCATGCTCCTGAAGGTTTCCCAGCATTTAAATGAGCCACTGCCTCCTAGGATGGTGATTGCTCTGAGAGATATTTCAAGCTTTGCCTCCTAAAACAATGAACAACAACAAAAATAATGAAATAATCTTGTTACCCAGGCAGCTGATGAACTAGAAAATGTGAGAAGCAAAGGTTTGCAATTACCCAACTGCTGAAGTAGCTCCTGATTCCCATCCTAACCGTGTTGGGAAACACCAGACATCTGTTAGCAAACTGTCATCTCCAGAGAAAACTTGGCTCCTCTCCACCTGCAGGCTGCCAGCCAGCCAGGAATTGCAACCAAATGAGAACCAAACACCCTGATCTGAGCAAATGCCACCAGTTTTGGGGATAAACCCCGAATTTGGGAGCCTTCCCCATTGCCAGACACCAGCTTTGTTTAACAAGCAGCCTTTTATTTGGTTTTTTGGTCAGCCTGATCACTACCTCACCCATCACTGAGGAAATGCATTTCTGAAGATGGAAATTATGGAATCTCTGCAAAAACTGGGAAAAGTGGAGCTGCAGCACCTGGATGGTGATGATCAGAGCCAGTCTGCAAGGAGACAGGTGAAATGAGCCTGAGATCCACAGGTGGGGTGAGGAGGGAAATGCATCCCAAAACTAAACCTTATTTCTGTGCCCACTAAAAGTCTTCTCCTTATTTTAAGATACAGTGAGATTCTAAAGGGGTCAGAGAATCACGGAATAGTTTGGCATGCAAAAGACCTTCATAATCTTGCTGTTCCAAACACCTTCCACTAGACCAGGCTGCTCCCAATCTATTCTTGAACACTTCCAAGATGGGGCAGCCACAATTTATTTCTTACTAAATTCTGCTTCAGCTGATCAGACACTTTAAAAAAAAATCTGTGTAAAAGAAAGCAAAATTTCCCCCAAATCTTCAGTTCTGTGACTATTCTAACTCCTGCCCAACCCTTTCTTGAACACTTCCAAGATGGGGCAGCCACAATTTATTTCTTATTAAATGCTGCTCCACCTGATGGAGAATTTTTAAAAAAAAATCTGTGTAAAAGAAAGCAAAAATTCCCCCAAATCTTCAGTTCTGTGACTATTCTAACTCTCCATCTGACTGCCCATATTTTAGCTGGGGTGAAATGACCCACCTGGGTCTGGTCCACCCATGGGACCCTGCCTGCCTGGTACCCTGAAATCATGTTAAGCTCCCTAGATTGGATTTGTGCTGTGTCAAATTTGAGTGAAGGTGAATAATGGCAAGTGGC